ACTTAACGAGGTGATAAGAGCATCCCCAGTAAGTAGGTCCCGGCGTCGAAGGCTCCATCTATTGGTGGGGAGCTACAGCTGCTGGAAATCGGGTCCAGCGTCCTTTTTGTACAATGATGAAAATGTATCTGCTGGAAATGGGGTCCAGCATCCCTGTATGATGATGTGAATGAATCTGCTGGAAGTCGGGTCCAGCATCCCTATGCAGAGATGTATTGGTATATCCAACTACCTATGCATGCACGTTAAGCAATCAATGTCTGATGGACCTATCATATCCTACAGTCAGACACTGTCCAATCTGTCTGTCTTATCTGCTGGAAGCAATCCATTCTTCATAGGTTGAGAGAAGAATATAGCTTGGGAGCCTTAGGTCCATTCTTGGGCTTGCACCTCGGACAGCCTTGAAAACCGAAACCCATAACCTTTTTCCCCGAGCATAGGGACGTTGCAGAAGCATAAAACCCCAGCAGAACCACAGCATCAGCTCAAGGCTTTCCTCGTGACTGAGGGTGAACGAGTATCAGGGTATGCCCATGACATCGGGTCCAGTGGACTGCACAATGCCAAATTGAAAAATGGGGTCTGTCGGACCCCGCATCTTGAGAAAATCCCGCCACTGCGGAGATCCTCCGCCCGCTCTTCTCAGGAACCGGGGTCCAAAATTCTCCTTTCTTTTTTTTTGAGAGAGGCATCGGCCTCCTGGTGGCTGGGCAATCGCGGGGATGTGACTACCCAGTACCCCCCCCCCTTCCAAAGCGTAATGAGCTAGAGTCAACCGGGGGTCTTCTGGGCCGGTCGAACGCCCGGTCCAACCGGCAGGCTCCCGGTTGAGAGAGCCCCCCCCCAGTCCAACCGGGGACCATCCCTGGTTAAAAGTATCCCAACCCTCTGCCACCACCTCCCTTTTCCAACCACGTCGCGACCTTGAATGCAAAAGAGATCCCAGTACTTCTGTGATGCAGTTTTTATGATAACAGCAACAGCAGCATCATTATTCGGAATAATAAAAAAAAATAAAAATATTCCGAATAATAATCGTTCTCTAGGAGCCGTAGCAGCAAGAGTAATGCTCTCTCTCTCTCTCTTCTTTGTCGCAAGTCTTCCTCCTCCACGTCCTGCTGCTGCTGCTGAATATTCAGTGTAATTCTTCATTCTTCATCACCATCACCGATACAGTCCTTGTTCTCTGATCTTGCATTAAAAAGTCATTTTCTTCGTCTGCTGCCTCCGTTTGTCCCACTACCTCTTCGTAGTATTCTTGTTCTTTGTCTGCACACCCATTAAGGTGGGTGGTGGTGATAACCGGATTGGGAGGAAGAGTCGGAGGTTTCTGAAGCAATGCTATTGGATATTGTTTCCATTTTTTTCTTCTTCTAAACTTGGATCATGTCTCCATTTTTGTGAGTCATCGTTGCACAGGGGTCATGCTAATTTCTATCGATGTTGTATCCCTGCCGACCACCGACCGTATTGCAGCCGACCAGTTGGGGTCCGCGGTCCGCCGACCGGTAAGAAAACAACCATCCACTGATTTTTTGGGGCTGTACTGCGCTTACTGAGTACAGCCCAAATCCGCTGAGAAACTTTTGGGGATGGGGGGGGTATGGGGGGGTATGGG